AAAAATTTAGGACTCATTTTTGTAACAGAAGAGTTAAATCAATTAAAGAAGGGGGCCATTAGACTGAGATGGTTTTAATGCCTTCACAGTCTAGTGAGCAAAACAAAATCTAAGCCTGTAAATGACTCAAAGTTAAGAAATGGAAACTTAAGATCAACCAATCACAAACAGCCAACTAGGCTTTCTCAAATAAGGCAACCGCTTAAACTGTGACCAACCAAATAATTCCCTTGCATTGCTTCTGTGTCTTCTCTGTAAAAGTCTTGTCCCTAGGTCATGTTGATGCAGTGCTCTTAACCACCTCTGGTTTAGGACTGCCTGATTTGGACTGATTTTTGCTCAAACTCACCATTTTTAATATTCTTTAGTTTATCTTTTAACAGAAACATGGAGGGGGCCTATGAAATTATCTCACTAAGCACTTAGGTAAAGGGCACTTACAGATCTGTTTATGTTTATGTTTATGTGTCTGCTGTGGTACCAAGCTTGGAGGAATGCAAACAAACAAACAAATATTCTTCCTACTCATAAGCCAGGAAAGGAGCAGTGTTATGCACAGTATTTATAAACAAACCATATGATGATTACCAAATTCAAACAGTTTATGTAGGTAAACATAAGGTTGAACAAATAGAGTCTTAGGATTTAAAGTTTAAATTGCAGAGAAAATGGCTCTTTCTTCCAACAAAATGTTTTGTTGAAATATTTGAAATATATTTACCTAGAGTAAAAAAATGGCCCAACAGACTTAGAGCTTCTCAGAAGTGGTGCTCAGGGAAGGTAGATTTCATTTTTTTTTCAGCATGCTTTGGTGTCCTAACAGCTTGATAGGGAGGGATGTGGTAAGCTGGCTGAAGCAGAGACTGTATTCCTCTGGTTTGTCACTGTATCTTCAGGGTGTGGCACTGACAGGGAAGTATGCAAATGATGCCAAGTAAATGAGAGACTTTCACTGCTGAGAAGTTTCTTTCATCAGTGGTGTTTTGGCTACACAGTTGGCATTTGAACCTCTTGGTATGCTGCCATAGAGGAAATTTTTTTTTAAAGATTTTATTTATTTATTTGAGAGAGAGAGACTGAGAGAGAGAGAGCATGAGAGGGGGGAGGGTCGGGAGGGTTAGAGGGAGAAGAGCAGGGAGCCCGATGCAGGACTCGATCCAGGGACTCCAGGATCACGACCTGAGCCGAAGGCAGTCGCTTAACCAACTGAGCCACCCAGGCGCCCTGCCATAGAGGAAATTTAACAGAGAGTTAAAGCAGATGACCTAACTGTCATTTTCAATCTTAAGAGACTATGACTTTAGGACCTTTCAAAGACTGGCAATTTGATGGGAGTAATGGAGCAAAAAGTCTAGTACCCCCGTATCAGGAACACCACCCGTCTGACGGAATTTGAGGATTTGTTGATGAAGATAAACATTTAGAAGAAGGACTGCTGTACCCCATCGGATAAAAGCTGGGACACAGGGTTTGTCTAACACAAGTTTAAGTTCATAGCCTCCAACTAATTTTGAAAAAAAAAAAAAAAGTTTTTTATCATACGAGGCTCAGAAATGACCTCATCAAAGTGTTGGAGGACTTCTCTCAAGGCCCGAAAGCTCCATGGGAACCATTTGAGTCTGGGGGAAGCACATAGGAGGCTTGAACTTAACTGGCTCCTTTTTTGGCTCCTCTGAGACCCTAGCTGTCTCAATATATGCATGGAGGTAATGACACTTGCCGCCTTGCATTCATTAGTATAATAGCTTTAATGATTTGATTTGCTCCTATAAAAGGTGCTATATAAATGCAAATGATCACCAAGAATGATAATTAAGGCTTTAGCTGCAAACCACTCACACCTAATGTCCATATGTCAGAGAATGAGAAATGTAGAGGTATTAAGAAAACTGTCCCCTCTTTGTGCTAAATATGGTGACAGGCATTTGAAAAAGCTATGCCTTTCTCTGGTTCCATAGCCTGAGTATTTTTGCTGACTGAGGGAGATAACTGATATAATTCATCTTTCAGAAGTGTTCAATGTTAGGGAGGCAAGATGGTGCATTAAATATGGAGGGTAAGGGGGAGACAAGGAGCAAGGAGTCTATTTCCAGGTGGGAAAATGCAAAGTCCCCAAACCTTAAGTGCATTTAATAGAGAGAGATTTATCATGATTTGTACACTGTCAGCACTGTACACAAACAGCTTTACAAGAGGAAAAAAGTGCCAAAAGCAGGACCTGAGCATCTCAGCCTGAATATAGCTCAGCCCCACATGCATTGTTTTCTCTGCCCTGACCAGAATTAGATACCACTTATTGACATTGTTCATCTCCATGAAATCAACAATCTGATTAAATAACAAAAGCTTCAGGTCTCTTGATTTAAATTTAGAAGGAAGAGGGAATTTTTGTTGCTAGAAATATGCTTCCTTTGCCCTTAAGTTCATCTGCCCATTCTACTGTTACATTATCAAAAAAAAAAAAACAAAAAAAAACAAACATAAGCTAAAATGCAGGATAAAGGTGGCCAGGCATTCATTCCTGTAACAGGTTGATTGTCCCACTTTTTTTTAAAGGATACATTTCATGGGGTTTGATTTTTACAATGTAAGCTGGAGCACAGTTTTCGTTTTTCCTGTTAATTGATGTATTCCTTTAATAACCCTGATACTGTTGTACATGTGGCCAAACCCTCTCCTTAGCATAATACTTAAATAGAGCATTAATTATGAATAAGGAATTTTTACCATTAGCTTAGCCCCTTTATCTTCCTTGGTTTGCTTGGGACTGTTATTTTTATATTCTTTGGGCATTTCTCATTGACTTCTTACAGTATCACAATGTGATCTGATCTTAAATTCTTGTCTTTTCCTTTGTAGCCCATTTTAGTTTTATAGTTTGGCTATTTCATCTATTTCTTGATCTAAGATCAGGTCTTTCATTTGTTTATAGATAATTTACTTCTCTGGTTATTTGGGGTTTTAAGCTTAAAATGCCAGTTGAAGTGAGGAGTTCAGAAAAGAGAAGAGACTCAAAGTACTTTAGAGTCTAAGACATTTCAGTTTTATCCTAGGGGGTTAACTCTCCAATTCAAGGTGAGAAGGTTTATAAAAGTTAGAAAAACAGGTAAACTCATGAAATGACTTCTAAAGTCTCATGTAATTTGCTTTTTAAAAATGGGTTGAAAAAAGAGTATACACAACAAAAGAGTTAGTTCTGAACCTTTTTTCCCTCCCATGCAAATAGGGAAGTTGTTGTGGAAAATAGGAGAAATTTATCCAGCAGCCAGCTAATGGTAAATTTTAAAATGTAAGTGGTAATATTTTCAAAGCATATTTTAAAGCAGTCCAAAACCAGTTACAGGATTAGAGTGATTTGAATCCTCAGCAAAATTTTAAAACTTGCAAATTTGTTTTTGTTTCCTTCTCTCTTTCCATTTTTCATTCTGGTGCTACTCCACTTCACCTATATTTTAACTGTTCAAACCTCATCTGGCAGTTTAACACTCCATATGCCCTCTCTTTCCCCATCCCTTCAAAATTCCTTTCTTTGTAAGGTGATTCAGTTAGGAGAAAAGTAACTGGAATCAACTTCCCTTTATCAGAGTATTTGTATACAGAGGAGAAAAATAAATTTTACAAAAGAAACAACATTTTATAAGTGGTATGATAGCTACTTTACTGGTTTTGCCTACTCTGAGCATTTGACAAAATCTTGACTTCTATGGTTAGATAGGGTTTCCCCAATAAAATAATTTATGTGTAAGAGAAATAACAAATAAGTTCATTTTATTAAGCTAATTCAAGTTGATAGTGGTCGTCTGAAGCTCTGTGCTCAGAGGGTGTGTAAAGCAAAGTGAAGATGCAATAGCAAAAAACCGAGCCATCAGTTAGAGATATCTTTCACAGATGAGGGACAAGGGAATGGTGGTCCTAAAGTCAAACATTTACCATTCCTAATATATTGAACTATGTTAAGATAACCCATCCTTTAGGGGCACCTGGGTGGCTCAGTCGTTGGGCATCTGCCTTCGGCTCGGGTCGTGATCCCGGGGTCCTGGTATTGAGCCCTGCGTCAGGCTCCCTGCTCGGCGGGAAGCCTGCTTCTCCCTCTCCCACTCCCCCTGCTTGTGTTCCCGCTCTCGCTGTGTCTCTGTCAAATAAATAAAATCTTTAAAAAAAAAAAGATAACCCATCCTTTAAAGCAGGTGAGACTATTAAATAAAATAATGCTTAAGAAGTACTTAGCATGGTCCTTACGGAGATTTTGATTCAGTGTGTTTGACATGATTACAACTACACAGAAACAACAATAGCAACAACAACAGCAACTGACAAGATGAGAATGATTTTCCACTGGGACTGAAACCCATTGGCTTTACCTAGAGTCGGCAATCAATATATATAGCTGTTGAATTATCGAAATAATGTACTATGAGCTTCAGAAGCCTTAAATTGATCTATGAAAATGCAAGTTATGATTACATATGTGTGGGAAATGCTGTATGGTCTGTCCCCTTTTTCAAAACTAAAACACACATTTGCTTATAGAAGTTGAGAAGTCTTCTGGTAAATAAATATATCCTATTTTGCAACATTAACTGTTCTTCCTACCAGATCAATTGCAGCACTATGCAACATCATGTCATTACTTCTGCCTTAAAAAAGACAACAGAAAACCTCTTTTTTGATTTAACCTAATTACCATCCCAATTTTCTGTCCCCTTGTACATCATATCCCCTCAGATTAGTTGCCTCTATGTCCTGTGTTATAGACTAAATCATGTCCCCCCAAATTCATATGCTGAAGCCCTAATCTCCAGTATCTCAGAATAGCTGTATTTGGAGATAGGACCTTTAAAGAAGTGACTAGGTTAAAATGAGGTAGGTCATTAGGGTATAGGCCCTAATCTATCTGACTCTTCCCTTATATGAAGAGGAAGTTTGGATACATAGATGTCAACGTCTAGTGCGTTGGGGTCCCTGGGTAAGGGTCTACGAAATCACCAGGACACAGGGGATGCAGAGCAAAGGCAGCACTTGCAACTGCATACTGCTGTTTATTACTCACATAGCTATATACTCGCAGTGATCAGATAAACATAACAATGTGTACTTAAAGTATCAAGCCAACATCCGTGAAGTGAAATATACACAAAATTCAATAAGAACAAAATACATCCTGTTTATGCTTGCAGAATAAAGAATTCTCTTAGCCATCCTTCCTTTGGAGACAACATGTTCTTTGTCTTTAGAAAGAACACTTCTGTTTAGAAAGATACACTTTAAGCTAGGCAAGAGCCACTTCCTGCTGATCCAGGCATTTAGAACTTGCAACATGAGATAAGGGGAAGAGAACATTTTCTCCTCCTGGCCTAGGCCTGCCTGGCCGTCCTTAAGCTCAGTGCAGTCCTCAAATGACCCTGGCCTGCAAGGGGCTTACAAGCCTACACCATCTCAATTCCTTCTTTTTTCTTTTGTTTTAATAAAAGTGCCCTCCAAAGGATGGCCATAGAATTCTGGGAAGGCTTTAGATAGCAAAAATTCAACAGCATAAAGCATAAGATAACAATCAACAATACAAGTCCCATTCCTCCGGCAGTATGCCCCAAACTCTGAATAATACCTTTTGGATCTAGTCCCTTAAGTTGCTTAAGAAGTAAATTGGCCAACGTAGCGGCATCTGATACAGTAAGCAAGGCACACATAGCCAAAAATAAATTTTCAGGCGTACAAGCCTTCCCTGTTCGCTACAGGATTTTTTGCCCTTCCCCACTAAGCTTTTTAATTTGCCCCCAAGTCGGCAAAGCTGTAGCAAATATCTGCCGACGGCGACGTCGTCCTCCCAAATTCAGATGTGCCATGGCCTGTAATGGAAGTTCATCTTGGTCTGGATTCCCCATCCGTCGCCTGGTGGGATACGGTGCCGTTCGAATTGGTCCTTGACCGGATCCATCGCGCGGGGAGCCAGGAACAGGTCTGTCCATCCTCTGTGGAGACATAAGCATAACCCTTCCCTCTATAAAGCAATAGCCCCGGTTGCCATTCTGCATCTGCGGTTGGTCTAAACCATATATGTTCATTTAATGGAGGGGGAGCGACCTCTCCCTCTATGAACTGTTTTTCTGCTCGGGACAGGATATCTCCCTGCGGAAGATTCAAGAAATTTAATGTGAACAGAGCTTGTTGCAAAATGGAACGTGCATTTGATTGAGTGAATGCTAAGATATGATCCTTTTTCCTCCTTTTTAATTTTTTAATTTGTAACTTTAAGGTATTATGTGCACGTTCTACAATGGCTTGCCCTTGAGGATTGTATTCAATGCCTGTTTTATGCATGATACCATATTGTTTACAGAAAGTTTGAAATTTTTTACTGCTATATGCAGGTCCATTATCTGTTTTAATAATAGATGGTAAACCCATCACAGCAAAAGTTTCTAAAAGATGGGTGATAACATGTTGTGCAGTTTCGCCACTTTGTGCTGTGGCCCATATAAATTGAGAATATGTATCTATTACCACATGTACATACATACAAAGTTCAGAAAACCACATCTGCCACTGCAGATATTCAGGCTCCTTTAAAAGAGCCCGACAGAGGACCCTCCAGTCCTCAGGAGAAAAATTGTTATAATGTCGAGCTAGACCATTAACTAGCTCCTTAACATAATGTGATTGAGGTCCATATAAAGACACTGCCTTTTTCAAGCGACCGATATCTTCTATACCTATTCCTTCATAATATGGTGCTTGTGCCACCCCCTGGATTGGGGGAGGCCTGAGAACAGGAAAAGCAAAGACAGAATTAGCTGCGCCACCCTCATCATCGCTATCCTCTAGCGCATCAAGCTCAGCTAAAGCAGCAGAAAGGAAAGGATTAGAAGAAAGAGCTGGTACAGACGGCAAAGGCGGAGCAGAGGGCTTCCTAGAGGGTTTCTTAGACTCTTCCGTCATAGCCATAACCTGCTGAAAAACCTTCCACACACGCTCCACCTCGGGATCCGACTTTACTTTTGGTTTTGGTTCTTCATTACCACACTCGTTAGGCTCACGGGATGGTGTAAGCTTAAAGGTATCTTTCTCTACCGCCCTTTTCTCATCCGTATCTAGAGGGAGGTCTTGTATAGAAGGAGCCATCTCCTTATGGAAGTCTTCGACCGTGCGGTCATCCTCCATCGCTTTAAGCACTGTAAAAATAATCGACCAAATAGACCAAAACCGCACGGGAATTTTTTCTCCCTGTCTCATTGCCTTCTCGACATTATGTCGAACTCGCCGCCAATTATCCAAATCTAAAGTTCCCTCCTCTGGAAACCAAGGATTCCATTCTCGAACCACCTTCAAACACAGCTCAATATCATTAGAAGCGACAGTAATACCATAGACAGCAAGTGAATGTTTCAGCATTCGAACATAAGGAGTAGAAGTTTCTTGTCCCATCACCCTGTACTTAATTAAGTTACTCACCCTTCCTGTACGTCCTTCAGGGTCCCTGTTCGGGCGCCAATTGTCAACGTCTAGTGCGTTGGGGTCCCTGGGTAAGGGTCTACAAAATCACCAGGACACAGGGGATGCAGAGCAAAGGCAGCACTTGCAACTGCATACTGCTGTTTATTACTCACATAGCTATATACTCGCAGTGATCAGATAAACATAACAATGTGTACTTAAAGTATCAAGCCAACATCCGTGAAGTGAAATATACACAAAATTCAATAAGAACAAAATACATCCTGTTTATGCTTGCAGAATAAAGAATTCTCTTAGCCATCCTTCCTTTGGAGACAACATGTTCTTTGTCTTTAGAAAGAACACTTCTGTTTAGAAAGATACACTTTAAGCTAGGCAAGAGCCACTTCCTGCTGATCCAGGCATTTAGAACTTGCAACATGAGATAAGGGGAAGAGAACATTTTCTCCTCCTGGCCTAGGCCTGCCTGGCCGTCCTTAACCTCAGTGCAGTCCTCAAATGACCCTGGCCTGCAAGGGGCTTACAAGCCTACACCATCTCACATAGACACTCGGGGTAACACATAGAGAAAAGATGATGTGAGGACACAGTGAAAAGGTGTCCCTCTGTAAACCAAGAATGAAGGCCTCAGAAGAACCCAAACCTGCTGACACCTTGATCTTGGGCTCCTAGCTTCCAGAACTCTGAGGAAATAAATTTCTGTTGCTTAAGCTACCCAGTCATGGTATTTGGTTAGGGCAGCCCTAGCAAGTATTTGTCTCTCGCCATTTTCTCTTGAACCTTCTCTATTCAGATTTTTGCCCTCACTGTTCTTCTAAAACAGGTACATATTAGGATTCAACACCATTTGACACAGTTGATTACTCCTTCCTCCTTGGAAATCCTTTTCCAATTGGCTTCTAGGACATCAAACTCTCCTGGAGACTTCAATGACTGTGCCTTCTCAGTCTTCATTCTGGATTTTCCTTATCTCCCTGATCTCAAACAGTGCTTCCACACTGGTCCCCTATTCCTCTTTCCTTCCTCCTGTCATTATCTAACACCTAGCATATACTTATTGTTATCGTCTGATTCCCTCCACAGGAATGTGAGAGATTTTTGTCTGTTTTACCCACTGATATTTCATCAATAGTTAGAACAGTACCTGGCACATACTAAGTAGGTTCAACAAAGGCTTTCTTGAATAAATTGGGTAAAACCAATCAATGTAATTAGGAAAATGGCCTTTTATCTTGTCTAGAGTCTTCCTTTACTCATTATGTCATTGTCTGATGAACTTTTCTTGTGTTCCATGCCATTTGGAGGCAGCAGAGGTTTATTTCAGTAGCACTTTAGTAAATTCTAACATAGTCTGGTGGTCAAGATTATTGGCTCTAGACTTGGACTCTATACCTTCAGTGGTTGCAATAACACACATATATTCTTTAACTTTTTTGTGCCCTTTGCCTCAAATTTGAAAAAAAGCTAATTATTTTGCCCTACAGCGTTATCATGGAGATTAAGGGAAAGAACACATGTGAGGTACTTAAAACAGTGCTTGGCACTTGTAAATATTTACTGTTAAATTCTGTCATTAATTCAATCAGAATTTCTACAGCAGAGGTGAAATGCTGGAACCTTGGCTTCTATTCTTTTATTTTTACCAGTTGCTAGTGCAGTAATCTGTATAACAAAGCTATTTAGAGATGTTCTCCCATCTACCTCAAACACACACTAATCAGAATCAACACCCTAATCAGATACATAGGTGTTAGGAAACATCAGTCCCAAGGGTTAATGGGACATTCTTAGTAGAAGAGTGCTAGCAGTCACTCCTGTTCCAGGCCTCACATAATGTCCCCGAAGTACTTCTTACAATTCTTTGCAAAAAGACTAAAGAGAATCTGGGATCCTCTTCAAATTTAAGAGTTTTGAGTCAATGAAATACTTTTTTGATATGGAAATGCAGCATAAAATAGTTAAATAATCAGGAATATGGCATAGGAATTGTAATAGTATCTATATCTCTATTCAGTTGAGGAGGGGGGTAGTGGAAGTAGGAATGGGGCTGTTTTAAGCTCACAATATGAAAAAGGACTTTAAATAATGCCTTATTTGTTGTACTTCTTTCCTGTTTGCAGCAGAAAACAAAAGGTTAGTTCACAAGCCTATGAGCCAGAGAGCTTGGAATATCTGTAGGGAACAGGCTTTAGCATTGAACACATACAGATGAGAGAACCCAAACACAAGGTGTTAACACATACAGGAAGCCTAACATTTGGCGGAGGGCTGTGAAGGGAGCAAATTTCTTTAGCAACACTAATAATAAATATGCTGTTGAAAATGCACAAAATTGTTCAGTATAAGGAAAGACTGGACATTTTGTAAATTTTAAGAAGGGAATTGTGGGCAAACAGAAAATCACATGTAAAGCAGGGCACAGTTAGAATGAGAAATGGTTTAGTATGGTAGAAACATAATGTGGGGTGAGGTTTTCAAAACATTTTTATTGAGAAGGTGATTTTTAGATTATTGCAGTTAACTGAATCTCCCCAAATGCTTAAACTAAAAGTAAATTGCAGTTTTCCTCTGATGGGTATTACATGAAGGACTTTGGTCACTACAATGTAAAACTCTAACAAGGAAATGGATTCAAGTTGTAGGAGTGGTTAAAGTTCAGCATGGTAAGTGGTATAGCATAATACCTAAAAATGGCTTTGAGTTCAGGCAGACAAGTTCATATTCCACCTCTGTGACTTGCTAAATGGGTGACCTTGGGCAGGTTAATTAATGTCTTTGAGCCTAAATTCTATTTTACAGAATGTATACAGAATGTAATAGTATCTTCCTTACAAGCTGGTTGTAAGGATTAAATGAAATTGGTATAGAAAGTGTACAGCACTGTGTCTGCCTTATCGTTAGTGTTTGGTGAAGGTAGGTGATGATTTTTGATAGTAGCAATCACTGAAAGTTTGGTGAGGGTAGGTGATGATTGTTGATAACCACAATTACTGAAAGGGCTTGGGAGGGAGTCTTGGGAAGGAAGATTTTAGTATCAGAAAATGGACAAAACAGACCCAAATTCAGATAAACAATACATCTCAGTTCCTAGATTGTATTGGAGGAAAAGGAGAACATCATAGCTTCACGTGAAAGAATGTGTGGGGATATATGTGACCTTCTTATATACTGGAACTTAGAGGAGTAAGGAAATGTAATCAGTGTGGACCTAGGTCACTTGAGCATGCTTTGCTCTCATCAGTTGGCTAGCTAATGTCATAAGGTTAACAATAAACTTAGGGAACTCTGACAAGTTTGATTATGGAACTTCAGAATGCCACAATATTCTTTAACTGGAGTGAGTGCGATAATAGAAAAATGATCTTATTGGATTGTCAGTGATAGAAAAAAATATACGCATACTTTAAAAAAAAACCCTTTGGGCTTTAAGAAAGGTGTTCCTCTTGCATTGGTGTTTCACTGTTCAGTGGGGCTAGCCAGATCTTACACTAGAAAGGATATGCCAGTGGTGCCCAAGGAGCATGACTGCTGCTCTTCTGAGTTTCCCTGTGCTGCCCTTCACGACTATGCTCTCCATGGAAATGTTGTGTCTCCTTTTTCCCGAATTGTTTATCAAAACCATTTTTGAAATGGTGAAGATTTTTATCTATGTTACCATCATCCACATCAATAAAATATTTTTCTACTGATCCTCTCAAGCTCTAAAGCAAAGCTTCTTGCTATTCTGTAATATGCCCTGACTCCTGAGATGATTACATTTTATGCTGGCTCATGGCATAAACTTTCACAACTGCCAGCTGAGTTGTCATTGTAGTACAACCAATTCCTTGACTGATGTACAGTGTCTGAGATGTCTTTGTTCTCCTGGCTTCCCACTGGTTATCAGATTACAGTTAAGAAGAAAAGAAGAGTGTAACAATCAGAGTAACACTGGGGTCTCTAATGATATTAGAGGTTACCTTCTCTTTAAGAGCATTTGTTATTTTAAAGTGATTGGATCATCCAAATACGTCATGCTGGGCAATTCAGCTCAACTATAGACTGGGGCTTTGGAAAGCTTTCTTCCTGATCCCAGAGTTCATCTCATTTTTGGCTGTAGGAAATCGGTGCCTTGAGAAATTAGATGTCTGGAACAATCTTTAATCTCAGTAGATGGCTTTTGTTGTTGTTGAAGTGCTGCCCAATTGTGAGGAAAAACACAATTTTCTTTACAATGCAGAGAAAGAAAGTTGTTATGTATGTATGTATGTATGTATGTATGTATGTATGTATGTATTATTTTTTTAAAGGAAAATGCTTAACGCTGGCCTATTACTTGCAGAAAAGAGATAATACTTTACACTTGTGCTGAGAAAGCGTCAGCTATTTTGCTTTCTTTTCTTCCAAAATGGAAGAAATTTGACACATTGAGATATTATTTGGAAAGCATATAGGACATTTAGAATTGGCTTTAAGTCTGTAGATAGCCTATTGAAAATTTCGGAAATAAGCCTTGATTAATCAACCAATTTTTTTTGTTTTGAAAACTTCTCTGAATGTATTATTATGTAAAACAAATAAAATGGTTTTCCTTTCAAAGATGCTTTCTAATTTCCACTGTGCTTCAGAATTGCAACTTCCTATATGTATATACTGTTCTTCTTATAGAAATGGGAATTCTTTCTCCTCCCTACCCTCACTCACCTCTTCTCTATGTTGCAATGACCAGGTTAAATACTTTGTGTTTAAAATGTCTTTCCAGAGAGCCTGGGTGGCTCAGTTGGTTAAGCGACTGCCTTCGGCTCAGGTCATGATCCTGGAGTCCCTGGATCGAGTCCCGCATCGGGCTCCCTGCTCAGCAGGGAGTCTGCTTCTCCCTCTGACCCTCCCCCCTCTCATGTGCTCTCTCTCTCTCTCATTCTCTCTCTCAAATAAATAAATAAAATCTTTAAAAAAAATAAAAGATAAAATGTCTTTCCAGGGGTGCCTGAGTGGCTCTGTTGGTTGAACATCTGACTCTTGATCTCAGCTCAGGTCTTGATCTCAGGGTTGTGAGTTTGAGCCCCGTGTTGGGCTCCATGCTGGGTATGGAGCCTACTTAAAAAATAAATAAATAAAGGTAAAATGTCTTTCCTGAATCCCAGCTGCAGGCTTTTAATCCTAATGGAATACATGCACAGATTTTACATACTTGTTTTGTGCAGCAGCTGCTTGGCAAAGGAATTTGGAATGTAGATGTAACTTCTAACAAGGAAAACTCAGACAAACCATATCAAATTGTATTGAAATAGGGGGAAGCTGAGATCACCAAAGAGAAAATATATAGTCTGTAATTCAAATGGCCAAGGCAGATTGTTTAAAACAAAAGTCAAAAAGCATTCTGCTTGGCAGTAAAAATTTGAGTTCTCCTTCCATCTTCTCAAACAGTCTCATGTTGTACTATTCAGCCCCATTGCACCA